ATGCACTTACAAGCAAATTATATCAAACGATGAGCAGTGTCGTGACTAGCGACAATGCCGTTGCTCGGATTCAATCCAGTTCGCTGCCCCCAAATAATGACCTTCCATAAACGCCAGTCTCTCCCTCCACCAGCATTTAGAGCAGCTACGTTACCCAATGACCTCCGCGCAAACAGTGGTTAAGCACAAAGTTGCCACTTAAAATGCTCTTACGCCCGTCGACAATTCATATGCGCGTTAAATAACATTAAATGACAGTTTTATTTCAAAAGGAACGACAAAAATGTTGTTTGAATTAGAAACTGACATTACAAAATAGCTCTATCTCTAAACGTCACTTCCTGCTAGGATGGCGAAAATTTACTGTCTGTAAAAATGCACCTTGTTGAGCAAAACACTTTCAACACGCATTATATAGCCTGGTAGCAGACATGATAAAAGCTACGTAACTACATATATATGAACCTCCACGTCCAGCAAGAAATTCATAAGACCAGTAAAGCGCCTTATGGGGCGACTAACGGAGCGAGCGAGAGGGTGGGCCTTGCACGTGCGAAATTGCGAGGGGGTACCTCCAACTGACTTGTGCACGGCACCCTACTAACCGGTCTCTAGCGATGTGCCGAATTTGAGCACAATCGGCCCAGCCGTTCTCGTGATCTGGAAGCGGCACCCTGCACGTGCGCACGTGCAAAATGGGTCCCAACTGACTTGTGCACGGCACCCTACTAACTGCTCCGTAACCGTGTACCAAATTTGAGCGCAATCGGTCCAGCCGTTCTCGAGATCTGGAATCGACCCCTGCACGTGCGCACGTGCAGCAGCACCCCAACTCTGGCACATGGATATGCATTGCCTAGTGGGTGCCTACCTACATGCCAACTTTCAGCGCAATCGGCCAAGTAGTTACCGAGATATTGCAACAATTACAAAAGTGACACCTCTTGGGTCACCTACATGCATCGGGAATAGTCCAATACTTGGTAGAAGGAATGAAGCTACCCTACAAAAATTACCGCGTGTAAATCGGTCAAGTGGTTGCTGAGATATAAGCGTCGCAAAACCGTGACCACGGCCGGCCGGCCGCTCATACTCAGAAATTTCCGTTAATCTAAGGAAAGACTCCGCTCGCTTCGCTCACTCCGTAACTAGGCCTGATCTCAGGCAGCTTTTGCAAGATTGTCAGGGAACTCAGATTTGTTTTTCAATAGAAAGTCACAATTCTAACGAATAGTGTATCACTGACGGCACGATATGAATATTTGAATTTTTAGGTCATGTTTTTGAGAAAAATGTATTTCAAACCAGTGAACAAGGCTGATCAATAAAGCCGAAATATTTGGTTATAATATTTTAGTTTTCCTCAGCGAAGCCCGTTTGGAAAACAATTAACTTTTTAGTGGTTATAATATTTTAGTTTTCCTCAGCGAAGCCCGTTTGGAAAACAATTAACTTTTTAGAGATTTATTAACCTGAGGAAAAGAATAATGACGCTTCGGCAACATCTAGTGTTTAAACTATTGACAACAAACCTTCGGTTATAATAATATGCAGTTTTGTTAACTGTTTAGCTCTTCAAACAATGACGGGACCTTCGTGATGAGTATTGAGATGGAAATATGGAAATTTGAACACCAGAATCCATTGTATATACAAACAGTGTAATGCTGTTCATAAAAACATATGCCAAAGGAAGAATTAATGGAAACAATATCTTCTAAATAATAAAGTGATGTTACCTTACCAATTACACGATATAACCGCAAGGCGGACAAGCCACGCACTAATTTGAACATGAATGAGAAACAATATCGATCACAGCACTATTAAAGCCACAATTACAACACGACAGCCTGTAACAACCGCAAAAGCCACCTCGGCTAGACTATAAAGCAGGTATCGGTCGTACTAATACGAACGGAATTGCACAGGACATTCACCATTGCGGCAAGGCTACTGTACAGTTTGGCTATGAGACGGCTATATAATGGTGGGTTCAATACCGCTAAAGCGGCGTTGGGACATTCCAAATTAACGCAGCGGGGCCGCCCGATTGGGCGCCGTTCGCTGATGTTCATTTGGGAACTCGCCTTGTAATGAACCGATGGAATGATAACCATGACATTGCTGCATGTTTACACCCAAGTCACCACCAAACATCGCGGCTAGAGCGACAATCCTTGATTACAGAATGAATGAGCTCGGATGTTATGTTCAGATCTAATTAGTAATTACCTCTCAGATAAAAAATGTCTAGTTCGTATTAAAGGTCTTGTATACGCTAAAATATCTGTGACTTTTTCTTCAACTGAGAAAGGTCGTCTTTACAGGCGATAGATTTATATGTGCAATAACTTATGGCCCCGAAAAGGATTGTCGAATTATGAAAAAAGTTTGAAGCAAAGAAGAATGTTATGCTTTATATGAACCTGCTTTTTTACTGCTGCTAAAAAAAAACTGTTCTTTCCAGTTCATAGCAATCGTTATAAATCCGTCAAAGTCCAGCTGTAAAACTGCCTTGCAGCACAAAAACCTTTTAAACGATTGATGACCATTCAACGCGAGCAGACCATTCAACATGACAAACATTTAACATATGCCAACTACTTTGCTGTACTGCAGCAAATGGCGTTTCTATTCGGACAGATGTTAGATATTTGTCATTAAGTTTGACGCAAAATGGGGCCGCTGACTCCTGCAAGTGTCTCATGATCGCTGATATATTTTGCGCATCAATCCGCCGACACAGCGTGAGAGTCTGATCGAGTTTTTAACTCGTCTCGTTACGCTGCAGTGTTGCAATGAATGGGAGTGTAAACATGTACTCTGAGATAGGCAATGGGCATAGAATGCTGTTTGTTTGGCGTTTTGGCACTCGGATGCGAATGCCTCAACATCGCAGTAAAGTTACCACCGAAATGACCGAATCTTTTCATAGGACTCAATTCATGACACGAACGGAGTCAGAGTATCGAATAAAATGGAAAGTGGGCACGGCGATCATTGAAAGTTTGAAACAGCGTTAAAAAGCACGAAGACTGAAGATGAAGAGCCAGTAGCAATAAAGTGGGTCGAAGTCAAAATGAGGCTTTTTATTTTGTGCATAGAAAGCCAGAATAAACGTTGATTCCTTATGCCGTGTTAACACAGCATAATCATGTGTTCTTAACACAGGTTAAGAACAGCATTTAACTTTAAAGCACTCTCCATAAAATCGCATTTGGAGGTTGCATTGGTTTCACACGTGCGAGTTCCCAATATAAACCAGTCGCCATATAGGGGCACCAAATTTTTATGATGACGTTTTTTTCTGGTAGCTCACCCGTTCCCACTCGACTGGAGGCCGGCCAACTCCCACATTCACTAAACCCTGATTTGTAAAGAAAACTTAATCATCTAGTGTTCAATGCTCAAACATTGACGCATAAATGGACCAGCCCTCGTGTTATGAATGCTTTTCTTCCTGGTTCGACTTTGTCTTTAATGACGGTCATAGTTGCTTCAGCACTAAGTTGCAGTTAGCCGGTGACGGGTGGCGGTTTATTTAAAGGGACTATCCCACCTTTAACATGGGGTTTGAGTTGAGATAGCCAAGTTTGCGGCGAGGTTCAGAAACCACTATCTATCTAGGTTGCAACCCCCGCGGCCTCTTGGTGTTGAAGAAATTCGTTCCCTTCATTTGAAAATGGGCCTTAAACAAGGCCCTATCTTCAACATGGAGCGACCGTTAGTGTGACGTCACCTCGTTTAGTCATTCTGATTTAAATGGGTTTGTTCGTTGAAAAATCGCTTAAAACTTGGTCTGAACTTTGTTGTGGTGCCTACAGAGTAAAAAGAATTAGCTTTATGACAGTAATGTGGTCTGGGGAAGGAGGTAATTTTGGGCTGTGACGTCACATATTTGAAAGTTTGTGTTTGGAATATGGGAAGCCTAAGATGTTTAATGAAAAATAAATGCCAGAACCGTGTTCCTGGTCATCCAATCTATAAAGTCGGGCACAATTTAACTGGTTTTAACAACATTTTAGAAGGTGGGATAGTCCCTTTAATGCCTGAATGACACCGTCTTTACTTAGTTATTGATTGAAAATATCTCGCCACACATGTCTAAGCGCCTTCGAGTTCCTAATTTCGACAATGTTCAGTTATTATCGGATACACGAACGCATAAATCTATCACAAGCGATTCACCTCTCCGTCAGAAGCGAACAGCGAGCGCTGAAACCGCTCGAGCCGAGTTCTCGTCAGCCACCTGACGAGAACTCGTTCTCGTCAGGTGGCTTGACGAGGCTTGTTCAAAGACCGATACCCTTCCTTGCTCATGGTGCGCGTGTCACCGACAGCAAAGAAGGTCGTCTGCATCCGTAACGTTTCTTGTGTGTTATGCATGAGACATTCACAAAAAATGAACTTAATCAGCACTTTGGAAGCATATATACGACAGCACACAGGGCCTGAATTAGCAACAAACCATTCCATGTTTCGGGAGGGGGGGGGGGGGGAGAAGATATTTAACGAAACAATGCTGATAATGAACGAAAGTAATGACTTTCGAATCACTAAAGCATACAGCATATTCACTTACGTTGTGATCAAGGTACAATTATTGGGTGGCGTGTTAGTGAGCGTTCAATTTTTATTCTCTAAAAAGATCTCATAAATTTTTCGGTTATCCCATGTTTCCAGTCGTTTAGGTAAAATTACTGCTCAAACTATTATGTGTTGTTTCAAAATACTAATAGGCTAAAGAATAAAAGAAACATTTTTTATAGCGAAATGGGTAATTCCAAAAGGTGTTGCTTTAACACAACAGTTCAGAACTGTCAAGCCAATCATTCGTAAGCAATTAGCATTTAAATAAGCTATATGTCAAAGCTGGCCACCACTTTTAAGGATAAAGTCTTTGACTATCATCAAAGCGAGCTTCTTGATGTTTTTACAATAAAGTCGGCCAACTAAAGGTTTCTGAATATAAGGACACGTCTTCCTCAAACCCTCACCTGAAATCTGTCGAAAAGTCCACTTCTCAGTCTATCCGGCGATCACCGTTCTACCGCCTGTCTTCTGTCGGGCCCGAGACTGACCACCGAAACTTGTCTGTCTTCGACTGTCGGCCCCTGACAGTGACTGTCGTCCCCTGTCAGACTGTCACTAAATGTGACTGATTGACTGATCGCCCCTGACAGTGGCCGGTGACCGTTGGTCAGTCTTCCGTCGGACGCGGACTCGGGGTGCCGCGCCGCGCGCAGTCTGCCGGTGCGGGCAACGGACCAGGGACAAGGCGAATGGCACCGGTCGCACCGGCCCCCACGGACCGGGCCGGCCCGACCGCGCATGCGCACCACGCTCGACCCGATACGCTGATACCGGCTGTCACTAATTATCACCCGGTGAAAAACAAAATGGCGCCGCACCCAGCGACCCCACGCTGCAGCGGCAGGCTAACACCGAACGGTGTCAGGCCACTCTTCTTTGAACTTTTATTGAATAGCACTTCAGGCAAACGTAGGCATACCTGAAAACAAGACGAAGAAAAATCGCACGAGCAATTGTTGAGTAATATTTCAAAAGCGTTTGAAGGTAATGCAAAACCGAAGAAAACAAGATGGGTTATATGCTTTGCCTTGATATATCTACACGATTTCGATGAAGAAACCGAAGCAGAGCATACAGGGTGTCTCAAAAGTTCGTTCACAGGTACCAGCCATGCTTTTTTGTCAATAATTCTGAATCAACAATTAATTAACGGTCGAAATTTTGCATGGGCATTCGTAACAACCTTCCTCAAGCAGCCTCATTGTTTTCAAGAGCATTCGACCCTTCATGAGCTCACAAAAAGGGTTCATCTCTGACCATGGGTCAGGCATGAAAATGGAGGTCGCAAAATCGGGTCGGCTAAGAAACTCTCTATTTCAGGAGTAATGGGAATGGTTAAGTCGGAAATGACCCATGGCAAACTGTCGGCAAGGATGAGTACAACATGATGATCATCTAATAAAAACGGTGGCTAAAATTTTTGATGGACAAAACCATGCGAGACTAACAGCGTTTTGAACGACCCTCGTACGGCAGCAGACTCGTGCTCCGGAAAACAGCTTAAAATGAAGTCATAACTATTGAAAACTGACAAGAAGCTCACAGACAGAGGTTACCCAGTTTCACAAATTGCAGGTCATCGTAAAACAAAGACAAAGTATCATTTTAAATTGTTTATTATATCTATAACGCTAAATTTTGGGGGAAAATAACACGAAAATCGTCAATGCCAAGGACAACTGACCCTTCAAAAGTGTCAATTAATGTAAATTTTTATCTTACGAAGTTTCAAGAGGCAGATCTGGAGCGAAAAGCTTTCTTTTAGACACAAAATCCCGACAAAACCGCACGATGGACAGGTTTTGGCCGTTTACAAAGCAGAACCTCTCCTGAGGAAAACACTCCGCAACCCAGTGAAGATCTTGTCATGGGGAATGATGAGCGTTTGGGATTTGCAAAATTTGCACAACGTGTCTAAGAAACAGATGGCCGACACATTCTTCTACGATATGCTGCGAAAAATTTGCCCCTGGCACTTCCCATTTGTTCAGGAATGGGGTTGTTTTGAAAAGGACAATGGTGCTTGGGAGGTCGGCGCCAGTCATTCATGAAGGAGTTAGCGCCAGAGAAGACCTACAAAATACTCACGGATGGTGTCGATGCAAGCTGTCAGCTTTCAGAGAGAAGCGGATGTTGCCGGGGAGCTCGTCAAACCTAAATCCGACGCAGAAACTGCAGGGGATTCCCCTACAAAAGCTTGAAAGCTGGTAACCTTTTATCAGCCTCCGGCAGCTGACGGAGCGACGAAAATCGGTATGGACAAATATTTTTGGAGATACAGCAAATAGTTTGATTTCCAACCTTCCGAATCAGTTGTCAAAGCATGCATATTTGTCTAGTGTGCACACAGACACCAAAACCTTAGATTTTTGGCCGGTTCTTATATGCTTTATGGGCATGGGAAATGTGTGAACGAACTTTTGAGACACCCTGTATATTGCCCCGAGGAATGGGTACCTATGCAACCGATGAGCAAATTGTTCTGTAGATAGATGCTTATGTAGCATTGACCTATACGTTTATATAGTGGCGTCGAAAATTAATTGTCTATGGTTCATCAAAGGTCCTTTTGAAGTGTTTCTACTGAAAACATAGGCTGATATAACAGCCTGATATGATTGTGATACTTTTCTTCGAAAAAAATGAAAACAGAATTTGTAACCAATATCCTCACACCATCAATGAATCAAATCAATCAATTTGAAATAACATGATTTTTGAAAAGGGCGTAAAAATTTGCATTTCCATTTCCATTTGGAAAGAGTTATTAGGTAGCATGCGATTTATTACAGCAGTAAAAAAAAAACAGGAACATGTAAAATGGTTATAGCGCGATACTCATGCACTTTTTCCCACATTTTCGATCTTCTGTGCGTGCGACTCATGTGTTGAACCCACATGTGCAAAACAAAACATGCTCTGCCACAAAAAAGCACTTCTTCACCAATTTGACCGAACGAAACTTATCAGTTCTAGTGTGTGCTCTAGTGCGTGTTTTGTAGCATGTGTGTTTGCGTGTGTTTATGCTATAAGGGGCTTTATGGACAGGTATGGCCTAAAATAATTTCCTGCTTGTCTGCCTGTCTGTCTTTCAGACTAAAACCGTTTTCCTGACGGCTATCTGGTTCACATTTGGTGCACATTTGGTGCAGATTTGGCCAAATTAGGCTCATTGTGTTTCTTAGTAGTTGTCTGCTAGGGTTGCACTAGTCGCTTACATACCTGATTTTTCAATTGATCAGACGTCATCGGGCTATATTTGTTGTAAAAAAAATTGTTGCAGATTTGGTCAAGCTTGGTGCATTCGCCAGGTAACCGTCGTAGAAACGGCTAATATAGCTTACCTAGCATATCCCATCAACGTGAGGCAAAACTAAAGACGATGTTATATTGTAACATGACTTTCTAGTTCCGGTAGCCATTCTGTATCGCAACGGAATGGTTACCGGAATGAAAACGTATTTATACGATGCCCCTTCGAGTTACAGTGAATGGTAATTCTAGCTCGCCTCCCTGAATGCAATGGTCGGTAAATAAGCTGGAGCGGGAATTTGTCGCACGAATGACTGATTACCGGACGTTTATTGTTGTCAATGCTGAAAATGCCGGAAGACCGTCACATCGCAGACACAGCAGCATGAACACAAACCTGCGACAGCCACTTTCTCATAAACTACCATTCGATATGAAACATATAAGTCATTATTGTACATACCTACCTCATAAAGGACGAACAACATGAAAGTTCACAAGATATCGCCCATTTTTTTTCGCAGTCAAGGGGTAAGCGCTAGAGTTTTTGAATACGTATTTTAGCATTTCAGTTGTTGGATCTCTCAAAGACAGCCATAAGACGTGGCAGCAGTAGGCGCTTTAGTCATTGTAGCGAAATAGGTACTTTCGAAATCTGAGCATTGTAATGATACTGTGTTTTCATTGACCAATGTTGCGGATACGTGTGGCTAGACTATGAACATTTCTGTCTTCAACAACAAGCATGAAATTGCATGAAGTCTCCACAACCATGCGGATCGTAATTTGTAGACCCCTCATGCCTTCTCGGTACAATGAGCTGGCCACTCCGGCCCCTGCTCACCTGTGACTAACACTTTGATGACCAGCTGGGAAATACCGGCGAGTGACGAACACCTTGGCCAACTGACAGGATGCTCCTTCATGGCTATCCGCCGCTGAAGAGCCCAAGACGGAATGTTGTTAAAGCTGCCTATCATCCGTCGTGCAGGGAAGCCAACACCTACCTACGTGTATATGAGCCGCTTTTCCTCACACACAATGGTCCTGTCGAGATGGACAAAGCGAAGAACAATGGCCGGAGAGTTGTAGGGAATCACAGCCATTGCTTAACATTTTTTTTGTGATTCCGGAATCCGGATCTCATTGAAAACTTTTGAAATCAAGCAATGAAGTGACTGTTTTGTTTCTAATGTCGAGACTAAAAAGATGCCGGGATGGGTTCAGATGAAGAAGACGTTTGTTTATTGTAATACCTGAATGTAATAGATAAAGCTCGATCTTATCAGTCATTTACAAAGCATAGGTGTATGGTTTTACATCATTTGTCATAGTTTTACCTAAGGACGAAGGCTTAGTGAATGGTCATTTTGTTTCCGCTGTTCCTAGTTATGCGGCCAATACGCATGACAAAAGATCACAACAATAAGTCAGTTTTGTCGCCATTTCGGCCGGACTGACTGCCAGGCTGCCGAGGGTCGTACAAACAAGGGCGGCAGTACCACTGGGGCCGGACCGGGGCCGGGGCCGGTCGGTCATTAGCCGCGGCCGTCGCGCTGCCGCCAAACTCGGGTCATTAAGAGGTGCCTGCAGACGGAGAGCTGTCCCAGCACCCCCCCCCCCCCCTCCCCATCCCACAGCGGACGGCGAACGCCGTCGTCACCCGCCGGCCAATGGCGAATAAAAATATAATTTACGACCGCATAATGCCCTTTATTGCCTCAATTTTAGCGTGAATATATTTCACCAGAATGACATTCAATTATTCTGAGTTTCACCGTAGCAAATATGTAATTATCAGTTGCCCTGCAAAGTCTGAAATAAACAGTTTACGAGCCGAGTGGCACACAATGCTCCCGGGATATAATAATGCTGGAAAAGTCGGCCGGCCATGTCGGACATGCAATAGTCGTCGGCGGCGCGAAATGGCCGACCGATGGCAGTGTTAGCGGCGCCGGTGGCGAGCGGCGACGCTCGCGGCGCGTCGTGTCCGCCGCGCCGCGCCGCTGATCGCCGCGGCGCCGCACGCAACGCGCCGGGTTCCGCGAACACCCACCGACGCCATGCTGGCGGTGCAGGGCCGCGCCGCCGCCTCAGCCATAAAACGGCACACCAAACTAGCGGCAACACCTCAAATAGAGGATCGTTCTGCAGGATTAAGGTACATTAGAACTAGCATTACCATTAGGAATACGTCGTGTTTATGGAACTGCCTTTACGCCGCATCTCGGGAGGAATCCTTGCGAATCAGCAAGTACCCAACTAAGCACCGTCAGTCGGACTTCATTCTTTTCTTGACACGGTTGTTCGTTTCCGGTCGTTTCTTTGTACGATGTAATGGTGTAACTGAAAGTACTGCTGGTGAGAGTTCAGTTAATCAGTCACAGACTGAACGGCCGGCGCCGCTGCAGCGGCGGCCCGTTTATGGCCGTCTTTATCACGAAGAGTCACCCGGTGTCACTCGCTCCCTTCCCCTACCGCCAAACAAGTTCCTGGCAGTGACATTAGGCGGCGATGGTCATTGACTTTACGGACACGGCACGTTCGTCGGCCCGGAGAGCGAATGGGGCGGCTAAGACGGAGGGGCAGAGGTCTCGGGGGAGAGAAGGAGGCCTCCAGTGGAGAAGCGAAGGAGATCTAGAACGGAGGAGAGGGCAGTGGCGGATCCAGGGGGGGGGGCTGCGGGGGCTGGCAGCCCCCACCCAAGGAAAACTGGCGCCACTGCGCCGAAGGCGCAGTGGCGCCAATTTTCAATTCGCAACTCATCGGAGTGCCGCATACTAGGACTAGGATGCAAAAATCAGTCGAATAACGTCGTTTCAGTACGCTCCGCACCGATATTTCCAATCGTGTGGTGTCACTGTACATACTGATCCTGGGCGCCTCTTGTCAGGGCCACTGGGCGCCAATATTTCAGCGCCAATACGATGCGACTATGGCGCCCATCCGGGGCGTGGCGCCCAATTATGACCTGCAGCCCCTCCCCAGTGAAAATCCTGGATCCGCCACTGGGAGAGGGGGCCTCGAACGGAGAGGAGAGGAGGCCTCGGACGGAGAGGAGTTTTCGCACGGAGGAGCGGATGAGGTCTCGGGCAGAAAAGCGGAGAAGTAATAAAAAAGAAGAAGCAGATAAGTGAGATTTTGAAAAAGCATGCCAGTATCAGTATGCATAGTCGACTACAGAATGATGCTCCACTCCTCAGAAGCTATCAGTTGACCGGAGCGCTAAGTTGTGCCGTTTATCACGCTATTAAGCGTGTCGACTGTGAGCATTGGGACAAAGCTATAATTTGTGAACTCAGCCCGTGTGATGCGGAACAGCCTACCACTCCAGGCAAATAATTGCCTGTGAAAAGTGGAACATCATTCTGTAGTCGACTATACTGCTTTGCTTTGTTTGAACGACTGAAGGGCTTGGACAGAAGATGGATATCGATATGCATTGAACCACCGGCCTTGAAGGACGTTGTTTCCATCCTTCTACATCTTTGTTTCTACATCCCATCTTTCTTTTTCTCATCGTCCATCGTTCTATCGTTCATTGTTCCAATCCATCCGCGCAAATGCATTATCATTCAGGCTAGCGATTAACTCAAAATATAACTATAAAAATATAGTAGCTACCTACAAAATATGGTACAAAAAAATAATATAAACATATGACTGCAAAATTATAGCATCTACCAACATTCCAACGCCCTGATTCCAACAATCTTCTGGAAAGCGCGAACACTTTCTGGAATGCTTCCTCCAAAACATCGGATGCCGTTTTTTTAAATCCCGAAATGTCTGACTACCCGTCTAGCAATCTCCTCCACTGCAGCGTTCTCCCTTCACCTGTCCCCTGTAGCAAGGGGTGACATTAGCGACACACAACATACCAGCGGTGGCACCGCGCCACCAGTGCCACCCACCGCCTCTTTACGAGCGCTGTTCTCGCGTGCCGCGTCGCCGGGACACACTTCCGGCGCGGCGGCGGCATTGTTCTGTGGCGACCTCCTGTCGTGGCGGTCCGTATCATAGAACCGCCCGGCCGGCCAGCCAGGCCCCGCCCCCGCCGCTCAGACTCCGCCCCCGCCCCAGCCCCCGCCCGCACCGAGCAGTCGCCGCCGCTGCCGTGAGAGGAAGAGGCGAGAGGTCGAGAATGGGTGAGGGAGGAGATAAAAACTGCTGGACAGTTCGCCGTGGTAGCTGGAGCGCCGGGCGCCGGGCGGAGCATTCAGCCTCTGCAAATAAAAAAGAATTAAAACTCGCAAAAAGAAAAGAAAAGATGATATGTTCAATAAAAAGTACAGATTCGGAAGACAAGCGATCGAAACTGATCGCTAGCCTACTTAGAAAGCCCATTCATTTGTGAGCAATAAGAGCAGGAGACACCGAAACGACGACCCCTGATTCACGTCGAGGTTGAACAGCAACTTCATGAAACTATGTATGTGGAAAGCGGAGTCAGTATTACCACGTCACAGTTCCTCACCCGCAGACCGTCACCCTTATGACGTCATACGGCCCTCAGGCAGTGACCCGATCATCTGAGGAGCCGACAAAGGGAGCCGCCGACGCGCCCCCTCGGAACGTGCCCCGACCGCCGCCGCCGACACAACAGGCGTGCAAAAAGGGTCCGTGATGGACCTACCAACAAACACACCACAGCCGCTCTGGGAGCTAAGGCGAACTGTTTACCTACAGGTGAAACAAATACCTAACACTCCGTAAAGGCCAACTGGCTGATAAAGGATTTAGAAGTGCACACTAAAACATTACCTTTTCAGTCGTTTCTGTTTTCTGAATTGATTGAATTAGAACATTTCATTACAAAATTTGAATTTTCGATTTTTTAGTTATTTGAATTAGTTTGTTAACGCGTGCATGACTTGAAGGGGGGGGGGGGGTCTACAGAGTCCCCTCCCGTTTTTCTGCAATATCTTCTAAGCCTCTTGACGTATCAATACGAATTGTACACGATATACACACCCCAGCAAACATACAAGCTACAATGTTGTAGGTAAGTCAGCACACCTGTGCTCCTAATCACCGTAATATATTCCCTCCTCGTCACTACCCCGCGTCCCTCTGGTGTATTGTGTTCATTTTTCTCTGTACAGGTCTGCCTTAACAGAAAAGCGCCGAGCTGCACCCTCGTATAACGTCACCCGAGTAAGCAAGAGCCTCACACTATCTCTTACTACAGTGTTAGTTTTCGAGTAAATGCCGTGGCAGCGGCTCGGTACATACGCCACCGGGGTGGCTATACCATTGTGATGACGTCCTGAGTGTGTAGATCAGTTATAGGTGGGCCTGATTCTCATCTCGGTCTTCTTCAGTGACTCATCTCTCCTCCACTCGTACCACCATATTCCAGTGAGGTCCCCATCACCGCCGTCCCGGTATCGTCCGTTCAGGCTGCTCAACCCGCACCGGCTGCCGTACCACCAGGCCCCCTGATGGTATTGTGCACAGTGGAAGGTAGACCAGCCGTCCTGGTCACGGTCACGGGTAGAGAACTTCCCATTGACGCTATCCGATAGACTGTCCCCAGCAGTTCCGGTGTAGTTGGATATGCTCAGTATGTATCCGTCCAGCTCAGACGAGACGCCGAATCCCTGGTATGTAGCGTATGATCGATTGCCGTCAAACGCCTCAAAGTCAATGCGGAGCTCATACTGTCGGATCTTTGATGTCAGCTGAAATAGGTGTTCCAGACCCCACCAGAATTCTTGGGTTACGTTACCAAAGCCTGTCTTGTAGTCCTTCCATCCGAGGTTGAAGTCCTGGCGGGGTTTGATGTCGTCCCTCCGCTGAATTACCGTCCAGTTTCCTCCGGTAGTGACCATGTCGCAGTACGCCTCGACGGGTTTTTGTTGGCTGTCACCACTGGGCCGAAGGAGATAAACTCCAGATGGGGATTCGACAGGCAAATCGCTACAATCACGTGGAGGGGTCAAATGTTGTACCTTCGCAGCTAGGTCATCAATACGTTCTTGTTGGGATAATGTGTTATTATAAGCTCCGGTCAGCTTGGATCTTAAAATGTCAACCTGGGAGGTCAGGTTATCCATTCTGGCCGAAACTGCACGCTGAGTCGTGTTTTGCTCGTCCAGCTGGGTGCTGAGCTCCCTCAGTTGCGGTTGTTGGCTGTCGAGCCTCGTAGCCAATTTACGCATTTCACTCACATGTTTTCCCATGTTGATGGCGATAGCACTCAGTCGTTCTGTGTGGTCGTTCACTGTGACTGTTGCCTTGTCCTGCTGGGATTTTTGGCCGTTCAGCTGTGTGATGACCTCGTCCAGCCGAGTCTGCTGGCCGTCCAGTCGGCCGGTCAGCTCCTCCATCCGGGAGTTGAGCAGGGTCAGCCTGTCTTCGATGGACTCCATCCGTGACTCAATTCTGCGCTCCAGAGCCTGCATCCTAGACTCCAGCCTGTTTTCCAGAGGTGCCGTTCCTGACTGCAGCGTGCTGACGGTAGGCTGCAGTTCCTTATGCACTAACTGATGTGCCGGTGCGTATCCATTCACGGGGATGGACTTGCCATCGTCACAGCCGGCCGTCACGATGAGCACGGCTAAAGTTAGAAGCGTCGCCAGCGTGCCGCTGAGGGCCGACATGTGCTGCCAAGGACTTGGGTTCAGCAAACCTTCGTCGCCGGCTGCCAACCTCGGACTGACGGCTCGGAGCTGGCAGGACGCCTGCAGAACTTGGCGCGGCTGGCCTCTATCCAGAGGTGCACAAATAGCCCAACCTGTCTCCTATACGGTCTCCGATAGCTCCGGTTTGTCTCACCGGTTATCCTTAGGCATATCCAAACAAACCTATACCTTCCATAAAAGCCGGTTACTACTAATTACATTATTACGAGCGAGCGAGCGCAGCGAGCGAAGTGAGTCTTTTCAATATAACGGAAAAATCTCAGTATGAGCGGCCCGGCCCGGCCCGGCCCGGCCTGTAACGCTTTTGAGTGGCTTATATCTCAGCAACCGCTGGACCGATTGGCCTGCGGTCTTTTTTGTTGGGTAGCCCCATCCCTTCTACCCCGTAATTGACTACTTTTGATACATCTCAGTGACCGCCGTGGCACGTGCCACGTGAAAAGTCAAGGGTGTTCAAGCAGTTTTGCAAAAGTAATGATTTTGAGAGGCCCATATCTCAGCAGCAGCTTGAGCGATTGTCTTGCGGTCATTTTTATAGGGTAGCTGCATCCCTTCTACCAAAGGTCGGATACTCTTCATCTATGTGAGTGACCCCCACTGCACGTGCAAAATACAACAATAAGAGGTGCCAAATTTGTTCCCATTTCAGTAGCTCGGTAATTACTGGGGCGATTTCGCTGAAACTTGGCATACAGGTAGGCACCCACCAGGCAATGCATTCCCATGTGTTGCGATTAGGGTGCTACTGCACGTGCGCACGTGCAGGGGGCGTTTCCAGATCTCGAGAACGGCTGGGCCGATTGCGCTCAAATTTGGTACACGGTTGGGGACCAGTTAGTAGGGTGCCGTGCAAAAGTCATTTTGGACCCCGTTTGCACGTGCGCACGTGCAGAATGCCGCTTCCAGATCTCAGGAACGGCTGGGCCGATTGCGTTCAAATTTGGCACACCGCTAGCGACCGGTTAGAAGGATGTTTTGCACAAGCCCGTTTGAAGCACCCTCTCGCCCTTCCGCACGTGCAGGGCTCACTATCTCGCTCGCTCGTTCTTCGCCCAAAAGGCGTTTTACTGGTAATAGTATGTAATATTTACAGAACCCTAAAGTTATTCCTGAAGCACTTTTTATGAAGATGTCCAGTGTCCATGACTCCATAGACAAATCGTCGTTTCTTGAAAAGAAGCCGACAGAAATACGATATATGCGCTGCTTTAGGTTAAGCATATACGAGGCATGCATAATACACCTGCAGCTGATATGCACAGGTAGGTACTGGTTTGATTAAAAAATTACTAGAATGAAGAGGTTTGGTTGTTGACTGTGTCTGAAAGCAGTGGGAAGCACTACCCTCATAAAACCACTGGGACGCTCAAGCTCAATTATTTCAACTGCATAATTCAAAGTAGGCTATTGTAGCGTTGTGTTGAGTATTTAATAAGATTATTAAAAGCTAATAAGATTATTAAAAGTATGAAAGCATATTGTTGCTCATATCTATAATAATTCAAAAAACTAATCAATCAATCACATTTGACACTGGTTTAGTTTTTGGAATTATTTTAGATGTGAGCAACAGGTTATTTTCAATATTTTAATAATCAACTACATAATATAAAAACGTAATATAAAAAACTCTTACACCGAGAAGCAGCTTCACCTGAATATTACAGAGCTATGATATCCAGCACTGGCGCATCAAAACATCTGTGGAATATCTTGGTATCGGTAATGGCATGTTTATTTGGGCTTCTCCGCTGCATAACCAATGGTATTTTCACGCAGCACGGCCGAAGCCCTGGCGTAAGCGGATATAACCGACGAGTGGATAACGGGTGCTATACCCGTCTGTCAGTGGAGCGAACCATACAATTGGTGCTAGGCGGTTGTGGCTCAGAAGGGCAGAGCTGGGTGTGGAGTTGTGGTTGAAATCCGCGCACAGGCCAGTGTCTCAGCCACTGACTGACCTGACTGGCGAAACTGACTGACAGATTTGCCACGGTGAAGGCGTACCCAAATTAACACATCCAATAACCTTGAGGACAAAGATAGATGGAAAGACCTGAAAAAACGATATATAGCTCTCAACCAATGCTTCCATACTTTATCAGTGCATGACGGAATCGAGATACGGGGATTTTTTTTTTTTTTATTCATAGAAACTTTTGCATCCCCGCATTCCACCAGCGTCCGAGACCGTCCTTCAAGTCCTAATAAAATTATAGATGATGATGAAGCCAAAGATTTTGGGATGGTCTCGTTCTAAAGTCGGCTAAGAGCTTCGGTCCAAAGGCAAGTTTTACCAACAGGAAAATAGCCGCCTGCCAGAATTTCTTCACATCCGCTTCACATACATACATAGGTACAGAGCGTAAACACAATGGGCATGTAAGAGGATAGGGCTTTACCGTTTACGCTCCGTATGTGAAGCGGTCTTTAGACAAAAAATTCCGGCAGGCGGCTATTTTTTCTGTTGGTAAAACTGACATCAGAACATAGGGGAAGGTGGGGTAAGACGGCCCAGCGGGGCAAGACGGTCCACCAGCCCTCCCGGTTGAACCGCTGCTGGTATCTACTGCTTTATGCACTCACTATGTTTGTTTTCCTTCGTAACGATGGCCACCTTGAGCTCATGCTGCTAGGATGCATAGCTTTTGAGTTATTGAGAAAAATGTTGTTTTTCGTCAAACCGATCTAATATAAGAGGTCCACGGGTGATTCAATTACGGCGCCTTTCTTGCATTATTAGTTTCTATTTTGCACTTAACTATGAAGAACAAAGTTATAAACTTAGTTATAGTCACACTTTAGGAAAGGCAAGGTTTTGCAATGTTGGGCTATTTGACATATATACGTCATGATAATGACAGAATTTAGATTTGGGGCTAGACGGACCACTGTGGTCCATCTTACCCTGTGGTGGTCCATTGTACCCTGCATATGGAAAGTTCTTTTCCAAAACATTGACGCAAGTTTAAGTAAGCTAATTTTTCAGGAAGGAGTCTTTGTTGCATGTGAGCCATCGCCATGCATGCAAGTGCTCGGTTAGCATGCATTCATGCAAAACGACAATCAACACACATGTGTTCCCAGCTTTTAGCTGCACTTCCATCACACATGAGTAAAGAATAAAGGCTCATTTTGTTATTTTACCATTCTGGTTACTTTTTCTTACAAGAGTACAGAGCAGAAGTGTAACACACATGAACGGATAGCAGGCACTGCTGGGTGGTCCGTCTTACCCCACGTTTTTTTTCTTGTCTGAGTTTTTGACATGTCCCTCTTTAAGAGCATCCACCACCTAGATGTCTTTAACCTTCCGCGGTGGGGGGGGGGCATTTTTTGCCCCCCCCCCCTTTAGTTTTTTCAATATATCTCGAGAACCGCTGCGCAGATCGTCACCAAACTTTCAGTACCCTCCCGGGAGCAGCTAGCGCACATGGTGACCAAAAATTTTTCCAAAGGCTATGATAGGTTGGCCGCTAATGACGTCAGAGTGACGTCATTTTTGCCATTTTCGACCCAAAAAAAGGTTTCGCGGGAAGAGCTGTCAGGCCTACAGCTTTAGAGATACAGAAAAATGTTTCAGACATAAAAGGTGTGAAATCAAAAGGGCTACAAGACTGCTATTTCGGTTTTTCGATTTTTTTTTATTTTGACCCCCAAAAATCAAAAAATAGATTTTTTATTATAATAGCCAAAAATCCAAAAAGTTTTTTGAATTTCGAAAAAAAAACGGAATATATGTGATAGTCCCTACCGCCTTCTATCTACATACCAAATTTGAGATCGATACCTCTTTTTTGGCCAAGTTACAGCGAAAAAAAACTGTTCAAAATTGATGACGTCAAATTTTCAAACTCAATTTTTAGCAATTCTAGACCTCGTAGCGCAAAACAAAGACCACCATTAGACTCCCCGTGACGAGCTGCATCGAATCGATACCCATTTTATGAAAAAATATCAACTTTGAAATTTGACCTTTTTTGACCTGACCTTGACCTGACCTCCACCAGAAAGTGACCTAAACCGTACCTGATGAACTTATAACCAACACCATTGAGTTGGAAATGAAAAACTGGCCATAAAACATGCATCGCATAACCTTAGTAAAGTTGGGCTCATGTGGTGACCCTTGGTGACCTTTGGTGACCTGACCTGTGACCTGACCTGGTATGACCAGTGACCTCTAATAGCAACATATGTACTAGACCAGTTTTCAGCCCGATCCTCAATTTAGGTCTCACTTGAATCCAGTATTCGGGCTAAAAGTGCATGAGCCCTTAAAGGAAGCTTTACTGAAAACGTTTTTTAAAATCAGACACATTTGAGGCTTGTTTCAGCACTCAATTGAGTCTTTATTTAAAAAGTTCTCAAAGTGTTTCCTGAGTGCAGCCGTTGGCAGCTTCCAAAATGTTGAAATACCCAACATTTTACCTTTGGTGACCTCTGGTGACCTGACCTTTGACCTGACCCTAAAAATGACCAGCGTTTTCGTCCTTATTTTGGACGTTCTTTCGATTACCTTTTACCGCGTGTAGCTAAGTGGCCTAGGAGCCGAGTTAGAAGGGGGGGGGTTCACAGCTTGTAATATTATTACCACATGCCGAGATATCCCTTTAACATTAGCACGCGCTTTTGGGAAATGGTTTTGGCCCGCCACGGCTAATGTTGAAGGTATTTGGAAAACGCTTTGGACCGCTTTGGACCTACGGCTTTTTGATTTTCCCAGAGAAAGTTTTACTGAATATTCTGAGCGGAATAACCAATTCCAAAGAAGATATTTACGGACTGCTTGTTCACTAACAACAGCAGCAAAAGTAAGTGACTGCTTGTTTACTTACTTTTGCTGTCAACGTAATTTTACTAAACAAGGGTATCGTTCCAATGCCAATGTATTTATTGCAGTGCAGAACATGGTCAGAATAGTCATTATTTTTACTGTATGCCTGGCCTATTCAAAT